CCCCCCCCCCCCCCCTGCGTTCTGGGATGGAAGGGGGGCGTGGTGGTGGTTGAATGCCTGTGGTGCGATCACAAAAAATAGTGATCACACTGGACTGCAGGCATTGTTGTGCCACACGTTCTGGTGCAGGCGATCGCTCTGGGGTCATAGCTGTGGGGCCATTTACTTCAATGCACTGCCATGCCCACTCCCGCCCCAGAACGCAGGGGGAGTTAAGTATGCAATACAGTAAGTGGTGTAAACAAGCCCTCAAAGATCACAACACAGACTAAAGTCAGGTTGTAGTCAGTTTCTGAACAGTGAAGAGCGCCTGCTGTTTGTTTACATTAGAAGGCTGGCAGGCTGCCAGCTCCCCACTGCCAAAGTTTGCACGGGTAGATGAGCTGCAATTTCAGTGCCTCTGATGATGAATTTCTCCACAGTGCTTCAGCTTCCAAGGTCAATGAGGGCTTGTTTGAAAACGTATCTACTGCTTGTTAAAAATGTGTACATTTTTGAATGTCTATAGCATGTTCAGAGATGTACTTTAAATTTAGTTGGGTACTGTGGGTTATTGCACGTTGCCACAGCACTTTACAGAGCCTTACTGAATGAAATTATGTGTATATTATACTCCTTCCAGCCCATTCATATTGTATTACATGTCAATCTTATTAATATATTCTTGTTCAAAAACTATTGTAGCAACCTATAGCCCCCAAAAAACATTCATTTGTTAAGGAATTCACAGATTGTGCATTCAGGAACTTGTGCTCATGCACATGTAAATGCCGGTATTTGCGTATTCTGTCCTTGGAATCCTATAGACACGAAAAACGCTGCACCTGGGGCTCCCGGACGCCTCAAATGCAAACTTTTTTTTCCCTCTATGCCCATACGTCTGTATTTGCATGGGAATGAGCCCTAATAGTGTAACAGAGACTGTGTCCGGTCCTTCTCAGCAATAAATATGTCTGAGTAAAATTAGTTTTCAATTATGTTTGTATATGAGTAATACCAAAAGTTAATCTGTAGATGAGTCTTGAGAGTAGCAAGAAAGATAAACCTTTTTGTGGCAGAGCCATAAATGCTGAGGAGAGGGGAAATGTTTCCAACAGAAACCATTCCTATTTCCAGTGTTTGTTTCCAGCAGAATTGGGGATAGTCAGAACATCTTTTAGGTTTTTATTGCAGTCTGTGTCCCTGTTGAGGATATTTTTCTTCATTTCCTGTCACTGCCTGGCAACACAGCATGTCACTGGAACCTGAAAAAAGGAGAAATATCCCCGGTGGGCACATTAACTACAAATAAACCTGACAAACATTCAAATCATTTCGATTTGCTACTGAAGAAAAAGTACTTTTTATTGTAGTTTGCATTTCCTTTGGAAATATTTCCCATCACTTCCGCCTCTATGACAAATGGCAGGAAGAGAGGAGAAATCTCTGCAACAGGGACACAACTGTTAATACTATATGGAGGTAATTATTGCCACTCTAGTCCAAAAAAAAAAAAAATCCCATAATTTTAATTGTATGCTGTGGCCAAATAATTCCAAACTATAAAATTCCACTGTTCTCTCTAAAAGCATCCATATTAAGTTTCATACTGCTGTTTCTATATTTAAAGTGGAACTAAAGTCCTTAAATATTCACCTTTTACTCCAGCAATGTAACATCTGCTAGCTCCCTCGCCAGTGCCGACATCTTCTCTTTGGCTTCTTCCGGGTGCAGAGTCGTCGGCCATCTTGATTGACTGGCATGGGATGACATAACTCCTTTCCATGTGCACAGGAGTTAATTCATCCCGGCACTGCATATCTTGGAATTGTAAACTGAAAAGTAGATTGTGATGAGGGAGGTGATAATCCTTTATTGCAGAAGAGACATATTATGCAATTTATTTATTTTTTATAAGGCCACAGTTCCACTTTAAAATGGAGAGTAGCATTTTGTGAGTTGAACCATAATTTGAAGACTAGTAATCCATTTCTCTGCCAGTAGTGCCTCCACTATTACTAGTGGCTCAAGATGGTTTGAATTGGATTGCTGAATCTATTGAAATGGTGGCACATCTAGATGGTCCAGAAAGCATTCAATGTGTTATACATCCCATCACTACTACTTGAATTACGTGACCTCTCAGGACAGTTCACAGCAGAATCATGAAGGTTGCCAATCGCAGTAATGCCAACATGAGCAGCAGTGTTGTTCAATGTAATTGCCAATTATATTATTATTCATCTAATTCAAGTAGCTCCCACACACTTTGTTTACTCTGCTGTGAACGAGAAACTTTAGACAAAATCTGGTCTCCTAATGATCCTCTCGCTTCAGTTTGTGCATGTTCTGCCCCTTTGTTTGAAAAAAGATACCGCCTAGCGTTTGTAAGCAATCATTTTGTTGGATTATTTACAGCCCTGTGCATATAATTATTGGAGGATATGAAAGAGTGGAAAAAGAGGTTGCCCATAATAAATCATTAGATTCTTCTCTTAGCCAGTGGAAGCAAGGCTCATGAAGTGGAACTTAATTCAAAAAGTAAATATTAGCTATGTTATAGAGAACATCTAGAAATGTTAAATGTGCCTAAGCTGTACCGTGAAAAATGTACTATTTGTCGCAATTTCTCCTGAAAAATAGCCGTGCATCTTCTGGTATGTGAGGATGCCCAGGCACTCCTGTGTCTACAGCCTCATAGCTGTATATCTGCAGTGTGAGACCTAAGGCACTGCTGCCTCATACTATTAGTCTCGGGAGATTTTGGAGTTGATTCACTGAAGGCAAATAGGCTGTTCACTTTGCAAGGGAATGTGTGCTCTGCAGGGGAAGTTGCCACTTACCTTTAGTGAGTGAGGTGAAGCTCTGATGACTTCTATCACCCAATTATGTGCAAGCAAAAATCCTTATTTTCCTTGCATGTTGTTGGGTATTCTTTGCAAGGGAATTTGGACTTTGCAGGGGAAGTTTCCCTTAGCATAGGGAATGTTGTAAAATTTCACTTTGCAAAGTGAACAGCCAATTTCTTTTGATTTAAACTAACCCCTATGAGTGAGGTTTGGTGATTTTACTGCAGTACTAATCCCAGTTCTACTTGCTGAAGGCTCTGATGTGAGGAAGCAAAAGTCTGCCTCAATCAAGATGGCCTCCGCCACACAGAGATGGTGCAAAACAATGCATAGTACGTCCATAATGGAGAAACCTTCAGGGACGCCGCAAGCAATGATTAGTACCCTTTTACCCTCTGCCTTTTTTTTTTTTTTTGCGCACAGCTTCCAGAGTTAATTTCCTCTTTTAATAGCTGCCTGTGAGTAGCGTTTCCCATATCAGCTGATTCAATTTTTACACCTGAGGTCTGCATAGTGTGTATTTCTACTAAGTAATTGGGCAAATGGATAAAAGGGCACCTGTTAGAGAAGTGGAGGTTAGCAGTTTCC